ATATATATATATATATATATATATATATATATATATATATATATATATAATTGTATATAATATTATTAATAATTCTAATAATGGATTCTATTAAGAGAAATTTAGCATTTGATATAATAGCTCATTTCTAGCTAGTTGTAATCTTTTTACCCTGATGTCTAAAAGTTATCATAATGAATGTTGATCACCCAGCTTTTTTTTCCTTATTTCAATAGATTATTTTACTAGCTAGTATGTATTACATAGAGGCAAGTGCTTCTGCTTATTCTATTTATTTGTTTATTTTTGCTTTTTAGATTCCATCAGGTGCCATTCCTGTAGGTATTTTAAGTGTGCCTTCTTTTTGCTGTGTTAATTTTACCTTTTACCTCTTGAAGTTTTTTTTTTTAAAATTCATTTTCTTTTACATTTTATACAATAGTGTTTGAAACTATCACAATTCTTTGTGCTTTCTTTGAAAACTACTCATTGTTAAAGCAAATTTCATCATTTGGTTTCAAAGCTAAGACTAGATTTGATACTCTACTCATTTGCTACCTTTCTACTGCTATCTTCAAGGTTCAAAACAATAATTTGTTCTCTACTTTCAAAAATGAAAAGTGAAAGCTTTCATTTTCCTATACGAATACAAACTAGCTGATTACAACTTGCCATATTAATGCTTATTTATTATTTTACTAAATCCATCCATCAAGAAATATTAAGCAGAAATTAAAAGTTTAAACAAAAAATTGTATTATTTCTTTAAATATACGGTACCTAATATGCTTATGAGCAAGAGCCACTTAATGCAGTAAAATCTACCTCTATAACTAATGGTAGAAGCATAAGTGAATATTTTTCTTGATTATTCTTTGTCTCTGTGTTTCTAAGCTACAGGCAAACATATATTTGGCCAAAATGCAGGAATTACCACACCTTTTTTTCAACTGAAACTATATTTTAATTAGGTTGTTTTTTTAAAAACTGTACTCTTTTTAGCCTCTCTTCTACTTTCAGTTTATATATAGCAGTCTTTTCTGTAATACTGCTTGAGCTCAAGATTAATGTGTAAGAGAGAGCCAATGGAGAGGGGGAGGGAGTTCAATATATATAGAATGTAGTTCTTTCCTTGATTGCTGGTTCCTTCCACATGATTGCAGTGGTGTGGTTACACTCCTGAAGTATACTGTACGTCTGTCCTTACTAGGGCTACTAATCCTGCACTGTAAAAACACAGATTACTACTATGCAACAAAGAAAGTGTTATATATGTATTTGCTGCCTTTATAGTGATAGTAAAAGGTTTTTACAGCTCAGATCTAATAGCAATCACTATCACAGGTGGTCCTTGACTTATGACCCACAATTGGGACCACAATTTCTATTGCTAAGCAAGGCAGTTGTTAAGCGAGTTGCACCTAATTTTGCTACCTTTCCTGCCAGGCAAATCACTGGAGTTGTTCAGCAAATCATGCAGTCATTACATACATCCAGCTCTGTTGGCTTTGCTTGTTGGAAGCTTGCTGGGTCGATCACAAATGGCAATCACATTTGTGATCTAGGATGCTGCAATCATCCTAAATACATGTCATTTGCCACACCACCTCAATTTTGATCACATGACCGCATGGGAAGCTTCGATAGTTCTAAGTGTGAGGACTGGTTATAAGTCACTCTTTTCAGAGCCATTGTGACTTCGAATGGTTGCTAAATGGATGTTTGTAAGTCAAGGATTAGCTGTATTTCCTTTTAGATCATTCAAAAACCTCGAGTTTCCAATTAATCAACAGATGAGCTGACATGCTAAACAGCTTCACAATAATATTGTAAAAAATATTCCATTATTAAGTATGCTTACATGGAGAGAGAGAGAAATAAAATCATTGCAATAGCAATAGCAATAGCAGTTAGACTTATATACCGCTTCATAGGGCTGTCAGCCCTCTCTAAGCGGTTTACAGAGTCAGCATATCGCCCCCAACAATCCGGGTCCTCATTTTACCCACCTCGGAAGGATGGAAGGCTGAGTCAACCCTGAGCCGGTGAGATTTGAACAGCCGGACTGCTGAACTGCAGTCAGCTGAAGTAGCCTGCAGTGCTGCATTTAACCACTGCGCCATCTCGGCAATATTTTTGAGAAGGGGAAGTCTCAATATTATGGCTCTTAGTCTGAAAATTGATGGTATTAAATCAGTCCTTTATTTCTCTGTACTGCCTTGAAGCCCAGTGTTTTTCTCTTAGCACAGTATCCTTTATCTGGGAAAATACTATTTCAGGAGTACTGTCCCTTGCTATTTCTGTGGCGCACAGGGTTTTTCTTACTTATTCAGAGGTGCAGAGTTAACTATTCTGTACAAAATTGGAACAAATCAGGTCAAGAATGAAATTCAGGAATGTAGAGAGAAAAATGTACTATTTCTGCAGGGTGTCTGACTTGCTTATTTTTAATTGTTTTGAGTTTCATCATCTTTGATTATAATGTTAAAGTATGGATTGTCAAGCTACGCTCTACTGGAGGCAATTTGTCAGGTTGATTTTTTCCCCAATATTTTTAACAATTCCGTAGCGATTGTTCACATGCAAGAAAATCATATGAATTAAACTGGAGGTATCCATCACTGTCATTCATGTACTCTGTATCTCCAGATGATATGGTCCCTTTTCTGGTTTTTTTTTTTTAAAGATCATTCATAGCCATAAAAATTAACATCCCGATCTTTTGTTCTATATTGCAAAATCCACAGCTCCAATCTAATTGCCAAAATTTCAAAGCTACCGAGCTTTCCAACTGCATTAACCATGCTGGCAGTTTTCTCAAGACCTTCAATAAAGGCTGGTGGTTTTGAATCAAAAATTATCCTTTTTTCCATTGTTGTATTAAAATTCAGGTTGTTCACAATTGGCTTTTGTAGTGAATATATTGTCAATAAATCAAATAGGCATGGTGTGATGTTTTTGCTCCTCTAGAAGATGGCTACGCTTCTCAACCTCCCCTTGCTTTTTAAGTTTGTTATTGAAATAATTGTTACTTACCAAATTGTCCTAAACCTGCTATGATCAGAGTCTTAGTTACCAAGGAAAATAATAAAGGTTTGTCGCTCATGGTTAAAAGCAGTGAACTGGGAATAGGGTATTATTTTCCAATATCTCCCTCCAATTCAAGAGAGAAATTGCTATTCCAGCAATTTATGTTGATTACAATTTTCTCCTGAATGTCATTGTTAGTCCAGCTAGTCTTGATGTATGTGTGTGTGTGTGTGTCTGTGTGCGTACTGTTATTATCCCTTTGAGAATGTAATTATCGTCTTGTTTTTACTTTGAAGACAAAGGATCCACTGCTCCACCTGTTTCTAAATGATTACAATACGTTTTTCACTGTGACTCAGACTGGAATAGCCCGTTACCTCACCTTACTTCAGCCAGTTGACAGAGAATTTCAGCAGTTATACACATTTTTGGTAAGTGATGGGGATTTTAAGAGTTTTGTCTTAAATGGCACTGGTAATCTTTTCAACTATTGCAAAAGCTAAGCAATTTAAATTTAACTTGGCAGAGATCTTTAGAAAACTGTTAGAATTTCGTTTCATCTCGTTTCGTTTATTATATTTATATGCCGCCCTTTTCCCCCGAAGGGGACTCAGGGCGGCTCACAACTCAAACCAGGGAAGGGGGATACAGACAAAAAAAACCCACACATAACAATGCATAATTTAAAAAAACACAACAGTCATACCATTCGAGACGGGGGCAACAGCTCTTAGTCCCAGGCTTGTTGGAACAGACAGATTTTAAGGGCTTTGCGGAAGGCCTGGAGGGTGGTGAGGGTTCGAATCTCCATGGGGAGTTCGTTCCAGAGGGTCGGAGCAGCCACAGAGAAGGCTCTCCTCCGGGTAGTCGCCAGTCGACACTGGCCAGCGGATGGAATTCGGAGGAGGCCTAATCTGTGGGATCTAATCAGTCTGGTGGAGGTAATTGGCAGCAGGTGGTCTCTCAAGTTCAATTCATTTCATAGAATTGAACAAGCTGTGGAACATAAAACAATGAAATGATCAGACCTTGCACCACATATTAAATAGCAACACTCTTAAGTAAAGTTAAAACAAACAAAACTCTGTGGTTAAGCTAAAGAACCATAATTACCAGGCTTCCTAGCCCCATTAATTAAGGTTTATAAAGCTAAGATTACACCTATGCTCTTGTATGGAGCAGAAGTTTGGGGTCTATACTCAACCACAGTCCTAGAACAAACACAGTCAGAACACTTGAGATGAATTTTGGGTGTAGAGCTAAGAACAGCCAATGCCATCTGGCTACCACCCGGGGGAGGGCCTTCTCTGTAGCAGCTCCGGCCCTTTGGAATGAACTCCCCGCGGAGATCCGGACCCTCACCTCTCTCCAGGCCTTCCGGAAAGCTGTCAAAACCTGGCTGTGCCGGCAGGCCTGGGGTTGATGAGTTCCCCTCCCCTCTCGACTTGTATGGCTGTATGACTCTTGTGTATTTTAATTACGTTTATTGTGTTTGTATCCCCTTTTCCCCTTTTGAGTTGTTCGCCGCCCTGAGTCCCTCCCGGAGAAGGGCGGCATACAAATAAACTAAATCTTAAATCTTAATCTCAGTCCTAGAACAAACACAGTCAGGACACTTGAGATGAATTTTGGGTGTAGAGCCAAGAACATCTGCTGCAGCAGTTAGAGCTGAATTTGGAATTCATACAATTCATGCATGATCCAAAATTAGAGCGTACTGGTGCAAAGTCAATGAAATGGAGACGGATAGGCTCTCCAAGTTATGTCTACCAGAGCGAATAAAATTACAATCACAAATCTCCCGGATCGCCAAACTAACAAATTTTGAAAGATGCTGTGGCCTTCCTGTCTCTTGCGTAACAGGAGAACAACTCAAAAAAAAAAAAGAGCTGCCCAAAGAATTAAGGTTATAGAAGCACAAAATGATATAGCTATCCTTACTAAGGTGGGTAACTTGAAATGGCTGAGTAAATACAAACATACTTTTCAAGTAGAAAGCTGTTTGAAATTACAACTGCCAAAACATCTTAGGGAGATATTTACGCAAGTGAGATTCAAACAGCTTGACACAATGGTCAGATATGAGAGATTCCATTCTATACCCTTCAATGAGCAGAGCAGCATAGGTAGAAGACCTGGCTCACATCCTATTTGATTGTTGCTTGTATAAGTGGGTGAGAGACAGGTACCTTGGTCTATATGACCATTGGGAGCCCCATATCAAAACAACCTACCTTATTTATGGCCAAGTTTAGGCTTGACTAACTCATTGGACTTCCTTAGAAACACTTGGAATGGTATCAGAACAAAACTAAAAACAAACAAAAAAATCGGACCACAGGATTGCCAAGAGATAACTGTCCAAAGTCTGCTTGACATTACGCAGTGAAATCTGTTGTGACTCAGCAGAAGTTTGCTGTGAGTTGATGCAGGAATAACAATGCAGCTGGGGCTCGTTAGTGTCGTCTTATGGAGATAAAAGGACTGATGTGCCACGCCCTGGTTGCAGAAGTCAACGTTCGTTGTTCGTTCATGGTTCATTGTTCATCGGTCGTGGTTTGTTTGTGAAAGGCACTTGGAGAAGTGATCTGCTTTCTTTCTGTACACCTGGTTTGGCCGTAAGAGATCTTTGTTTTTGCATTCTGTTATCTTCTTGCCAGAGACTTTATTTATGTTTATTTTTGGGCTCGCAGCCAGCGTGAGCCGAGGACTGATAAAGTTCTTTCCTTTTAAGTCTGTCTGCCTGTCGTCTTTGAACGAGCGAAGCAGCGGGGTCAGAACAGAAATCTATCTACCTTTTATTTAAACCATCACTTCTACTTTTGGCTCATCGCAATTGATTAAATGTTGCCCCTGCACAAATGATATGTGTTTTTCTGCAGGAATTTTCTGGTCATTTACTGAATGCAGCCATCATACTTCAGATCAAAGTTTTTCAAACTATGTTCCTCTTAAACCTAGCATTTCTTGAAAAATTGTAAGAAATACTGAAACACTTCAGAGTGTGGCTACTAAGTGTATTTTATAGATTTTTGACTGCAAATTACGAAAATAAGCACATACCGTTTTATAGAAGTCTTCTGTTTTTACACAACAGTGTATACCCTGTTGGCTATGCTGTGAACATGAAAGAAATATACAAAAACATGGAGATGTTGTTGAAGCACATTCAGTGTACCAAATACAACTGGAAAATCACGGAGTTCTAAAAATAAGGAATGCCTGGGCTGTTTGGAATGCAGTTCAGTTATACTAAGTAATGGTGTGACATGTGTAAATAGCTCAGCCATGTAAGAGACACAACAGATTAAACAGAAATAGCCACTGTGAAAGAATTTGGTTCCAGGTCAGAAAAATATGGCACATAAACCACTTGTTGATCTGACAAAGATATTTTTTGGCTCCACGTCACATAAAATTCAGACTGATGATTTTTTTTAAAATCTTTTTTTGTGAAAGTGATGAACAAGAAAAAATGAAGACTTTCATTATTTGAGATTGATGTTTCCAAGAATAACTGATGCCAAGATTAAGGAAAGCATTTTTGTTGGTCCACAGAATAGATACATCATCAATGACAAGTGGTTCGAAGATCTGTTAGTGGAGCCAGAGAAAATCACCTGGGAAGCGTTCAAGGATGTTCTTGAAAATTTTCTTGGCAACAACAGAGCACAAAACTACATTCAGCTGGTTGACAAACTTATTACCGCCTTCAGCATTCATACTTTGACTCCCCCCCGCCCAATAATCTACTGCAATCAGTGATAAACATGGACATTGCCACAATGGAAAAATGATATCAGGATAACTGGAATCTATCAGTGCTGGATGACTATTGCTGGACACTGCAGTAAGATGCATTCAACACTGAATGAAAGTGAAAATCAGCAGCAAAACACTTTTAACCCCGTTGAACTCATGCAGTGTGTCAGAACTTTATGCTGCATTCTAATCATTATCAGTTAATTTCATATTTCTCAAGATTCCTACATGATACAGTCATTCTGAAATTATATTTGTGTTCCGTTTGAAGCGATCTATCATAATCACCAAATATTTTGCAGGAAACAAAACTTTTTGATTAAAAATGGTTGGCGACTAAGGGCAAAGAAAAAGTTCACTCAACTGCAGTAAGTTTTTCTAATATGAGAGCTTTGCCTCTTGAATAACGTACAACAACTCACCAGTAAAGGTAGTCCTCCCTTAGTGACCACAATTGGGATCTGAAAAACATGTGACCACAATGGATTTATGTCAACACGTTCCTCTTAATCATTTTCACTGCTGTTGTTAAGAGAAGCATCGCATAATCGCGACTTGTACGTTTTTGTTTCTGCATTCTCCATTAATTCTTCTTGTCACAAGCTGATTGGGAAGTTTACGGTTTACGGTTTATTAGGATTTGTATGCCGGCCACTCTCGAGAGACTCAGGGCGGCTTACACATAAAAACGGGGAGGGGGGACATATAAAAATTAAAAAAGAACAGACATTAAAATTGCACAACATTCATATAGCTTAGAACGGGGCTGGATAAATCAACAGCCCCAGGCCTGCCGGAACAGCCAGGTCTTAATCGCTTTGCGGAAGGCCGGGAGGGTAGTAAGGGTCCGGATCTCCACGGGGAGATCGTTCCATAGGGCCGGAGCAGCTACAGAGAAGGCCCTCCCCCGGGGAGTCGCCAGCCNGGAGCAGCTACAGAGAAGGCCCTCCCCCGGGGAGTCGCCAGCCTACACAAATAGCAATCACATTTACTTCAGTTGCAACGTGCCCAAATGATAATTGCATGACCACAAAAATTGCCTCATTTATAATTGATTTATAAACAAGGCTTCTTCAAATCGCCCTGATCCATTGAACTCATTGAAATGACCTTCCCGGATAACTACCAGTGCATCACATAAGTGAGTACACCCCGCCTCACATTTTGTAAACATTTAAGGATACCTTTTCATGTGTCAACACTGGAGAAATGATACTTGGCTACAATGTAAAGTTGTGAGTATACAGTTTGTATAACAGTGTAAATGTGCTGTCCTCTCAAAATAACACACAGCCATTAATGTCCAAACTGCTGGGAAGATATACTGTATTTAAATATTTATGTGAGGGGTTTGTACTTACTTATGTGATATACTTTATGTTTAAAGTAGTTTTACTTTAATTATCAGCATTTTATTTTAAATTGTCAATGTTGGAAAGAATTGTTAATTGTTATTAAAACCTCTTATGTAGGTTTTATTCCTGCCAGTTTGATCAAGAAAGCGGGAGATTGTGAGTTCAAGTCCTGCCTTAGACGTGAATATCAGCTAGGTCATTTTAAGTTACTCTCAGCCCAACCCACCTCATAGGGGATTTGGTTGTAGGAGAAGATAGATGGATATGTTCGCGTCCTTGAGTTATGTATAAACAATAAAGGTGGGATACAAACAAGGAAACAAATAAATATATATGTGCCCTTTTATCAATGTCTTGAAAAGATTCTAGACTTTCGGTACCTGGCTGTTATTTCCAGATAATGTTTGTGTTTTCTAATGTTGTAACTTGCTATGATCTTTGTTTTATTTTTTTAGGAAGAAAACTATTTAATTTGCTGGTTAATGACAGTAATAAAAATATATATACAAATTTGTTACTGCGGTCTTTGGAGGGGAAAAATATAATGGAAGTATTTTCCTTGGATTAAAAAAGTAATAAAATGTTGATCCTCACTTTAGAATATTTTATCTACAAGATAATTAATCATTTGAAATTTGTTAGAATTATTTTTTCTGCAAAGATACTTTTTTTTACACATTAGACGGGAAAAATTATGCTAATCTAAAGCTACCCATGGATCCCTATAGATGATAATTTTGTAAATTCAATTGAATATGAACCAAAAATATATATTTTAATTCCAGGCTAAATGAGAACAACCTTAATGCTATTAAAATCAATAAGATCTAAAATGAGTCATTGGAAATGGGAATTAAGCATACACCATCCATAATGGGATCTATAAAGAACATCATAAAATAATTTTAGTTTCAAATAACTTTGTTAAATGCCAATGATTTTTTTTTTAGATGCAATTATGTGTGAAATGTATTCTACGCATTTGAAATATATACTTAGAGCTGGCTTCAAAGGGATTGGTTTCTTAAGTGTTCAAACTAGTGAGTTAGCAATTTAGTAATAACAAGAAACAGAACTTCTTATAACACAACTATTTCTTCATGTCTCTTTATTCTGAAGATTACAGCTTCCGATGGGGTACAAGAAAGTTTTCCAGTCACAGTCAATATTTTTGTACTTGATGCAAATGATAATTCTCCAACCTTCTCAAACATATCATATAATGTGAAGATCTATACAGATATGAGGCCTGGAGAAAGCGTTATCAAGGTAATAGAACAGTTTCTTTTGTCTTTTGTGTTTTCAGCCAATATTTTTTCTAAAAATAACATTTGAAAATAAATTTATGTAATGGAACAAAGGGAGTTATGATATAACCTTAGAAAGAGAGAGCATAAAATTCAAATGTATTTATTATTGCTGTAAAGATTGGAGGTCATTTCTTTATATTTTTCATGTCTTTTCTCATTTTTTCTCATTTTTTTTTATTTCTTTGTTCTTTTCTCAGTACTTTTCTTTTTTTTTCTTTACATGTTTTGTTCTGCAAAAGTACTTTCATTAAAAATAATTTTAAAAAGGAAAATAAGTTTGCATAGGAGGAATTAAACTGCTCTTAGGATCTTAATCTCTTCTACTTGCTAGAATCTTCTAAAAAGCTGACACTTACAGATACACTTAAAATAGTACATGGTTGCTAACCAAATAGTCTCATGTTTAATGACAAACTAATTGCTCCTTTGTTGTTAAGCTGGTGCTTTCTCCAACAAGTTGAAAAAAATATTCCATTGCAATTATTAGGGTTGTTTAGGTAACTGACCAATATTTTTAAAAAAAGGTTATTTTTGGCCCCGAATGGAAAAGAAATATAATATTGTCTGTGGATGAAAAATAAAGGCTGTTATGTAAGTACAAAGGGCAAGCGTAGGATGCAATGTGAGAAAAGCTGTGTGTTTCTTGCTTGTTCCTGAAAGGAATAATAATTTACAGAGAAATTTCATTTGGCCTGGAATATCAGCTGCTTCAGACCACAGTTGTAATATTATCAAAATAATTGCCACATTCCCTGTATAGTTCTGAATGTTAAACAAGGTTATACAAGAAGGGGGAAAAAAATAAGAAATAGCAAAAGAAATGAAAAGTAGGAAAGAAAAAGGAAAAGTAGATTTAGATTACAACAATATCATTCATAGTACCTCTAAATATCTTTTTAAGTCACCATTGCTTCACTAGATGCATATACCAATTTTTCTTCTTCAAATTACCTTGTTTTTTTGGGTTTCTCAACTACATCCAACCATTAAACTTAACGTTTCCTCTCAATCTATTCACCCTTTCCTCCTTAATTTTTTTAAAAAAATAATCATTTCTTTCATTCTTTCCTTTGAAAAGACCAATTATTGTCTACTTTTTCTACCAGCATTTACAGTCTTAAAGTATATCCATCAAGTTCCAACTCTTCCCTAAACATTCTATCAATCTCTACCAATTTATCTATTTGCTTTGTCTTTTGTCTTTTTTATATAACTTTCATCTATTCACAGCATTTACTTTGTCTAAAAGGCTGTTGCTAGCCGAATGCAACTAAAACAAGATTATTGTTGAATCTTCCTTGATAAAATTTATTAAAAGGGTAAGAGACAAGATTAGTGAATTCTAAGTAACTGTAGTACCTTTACTTCAGAATCCATTATTTTCAGTTCATTTTAAAAAATCAAATAATATTGGAAACTTCATTGGTTTCTTCCTAACAGCATTCTTGAGAACTGGTGAAAATGACAGCTATCCACAATTAATGTTTCTCTAATGCCATTCCTTATACATTTAACTATAACTATGTTTCTTCGGGAGAGCGTCTGTGTGTGATATAATTAGTATATAATTATATAATTCATTTTAATTTCTACTTTCAATGTTTCCTATTACTTTGATGTCTAATACCCATCACAACTCAGTCAATCATTATATTAAGTTACAAAAGTAATAAATTGATTGTCCTTAGTTGCATCCATGCCATATGAAGCATTCTTGCTGGTGGTAAGAATATAATATTGGTAAGTTATGGCACATTTTGTTTAAAAAATTCCAAAAGGATAACCAGAGCCCATTTTGACCTTGAGCATGTGGAATTCTATTTTGTGCAACTAAGGCGACATGTGGAATTCTATTTTGTGCAACTAAGGTGACTAGTTGGAAAGACTACTTTGCATATTAACTAACTGTTTCCTATGTCTCTCCAGATAGGAAGATCAGGCAGTGTCTTGACACTTCCAGGGTGCAGTATTAATAAGTTATAACACTCAAGAAAATTATATTAAAGCCATCATCTATTCAAGATATAGTGTTAATAAGTTTTATAATCAAGGAATGGAGAAGCTGAGACTTAACTAGATTATAAATTGGTTGAAAATTAAATCTTGCACATCTATTTTTGAATGACCTCTACCTTCATATTTTGTGTTTTATGATTTTTTTTTGTAAGAAAACACTATTCTGATTCATTTTCTTTTAGTATTTTTCATAGGGAAAGAAGGATTCTTCCAATTATGAAACAGCCTCAAGTATCAGATACAAGAGAAAATAGGAAGGATGTCCATATTAGAGAGCAAGTTTGATGTAATATTTTGAAATGTTGTTAACAAAAGCCAAATTACTAAAAACTGAGGGCATTAAGATAGCAATAGCAATAGTTAGACTTATATACCGCTTCATAGGGCTTTCAGCCCTCTCTAAGCGGTTTTACAGAGTCAGCATATTGCCCCCAACAACAACCCGGGTCCTCATTTTACCCACCTCGGAAGGATGGAAGGCTGAATCAACCTTGAGCCTGGTGGGATTTGAACAGCCGAACTGCTGAACTGCAGTCAGCTGAAGTAGCCTGCAGTGCTGCATTTAACCACTGCGCCACCAAATTCTAAGATGTTACCAATTTAGAATTGCCTTGAATGAGAAAAAATCTGTAAGGAAAAACAGAAATAGTAATGTATAGCTGTCTTGAAGAGCCGAGGTGGCGCAGTGGTTAAATGCAGCCCTGCAGGCTACTTCAGCTGACTGCAGTTCTGCAGTTCGGCTGTTCAAATCTCACCGGCTCAGGGTTGACTCAGCCTTCCATCCTTCTGAGGTGGGTAAAATGAGGACCCGGATTGTTGTTGGGGGCAATATGCTGACTCTGTAAACCGCTTAGAGAGGGCTGAAAGCCCTATGAAGCGGTATATAAGTCTAACTGCTATTGATGAGCCACCATAATCCAAATCTTTAATGTAGTATTTAAATTTATCCCTCCGTATTGAATTGATATTCAATAAATCAATCGACTGAATCAGTTTTTCATATTGAAAAGCTGTTCTCTGGATTACAGAAAATCACTGGTTTGTTTTGAGAGCAACAATATGCAACTACAAGGTATCTGGAGGAGAAAAATAAAAACAAATATGAATTCAAAATTATTTCAAAGATTTTTCTGATATATGGAAAAAGAGACATTGAAGGATTATGAGACATATGTCCATTTTAAATCTCTTGTGGATACATGTCTTGGGATTGACACTTGACCAAATAGTTTTCTCCTGATAACCTCCCTATATTCACCCATCCCTTCTATATTAAAAAAAAGTTTATAATCATTATTGGCTGACTGATCATGATAAATTTGCAGATCATTTAATAATAAACACACAAGTCATCCCAACATTGCCAACTATTCATAGTGTTTGTACTATTTATCTTGACTTTTAAGTAGATTTAAAGATATTATCCAAGCACTTTCAAGGCTGATTCTCTAGATAGTTACTGCTTTTCCCTAATTCAGACCTGACTGCTCTTAAAATCCTTCCTTTGTGTAATTAAAATAGAACATATTTGGATTTCGAGACTGATGAAAACTGTTAGCTACTTATTTCTATGAATGAAAGAATGACCATGAAAGGATCTATTTTATGGGTTTGATTTCTTCATTAATTGACTGGCTACAGCCAATTGAACTCTAGGTTTCTGCCTTTCTCAATGATATCTTAACCATAATTTTCAGAACTCCTCTAATAATGAATTTTATAGTTCATTAAATAGTTTCTCTTTTTAGGTTTAGGTTTTTTAAAGTCTTCTGGTTCTGTGGATTATTTTTGTCTTTAGCATCTTTTGTATAGTACAGCTTCTTTAGGAATAGAAGCTGAAATAAATTCATGGTTTTGAAAATGAACAATAAAAATCAATGCTATGATCTACCCACAACTTCTGTATTTTATTCCTGATCTATTTTTTGCCTGCTATTTCTTAGTACATATTTGGTCCTTTCCAACTTACCTCCTCTTTGCCTTCATCTCTCTTTTTCAATAAAATGAACAACAGCACAGTCTTAATTAGAAAGATAAATATTTTAAATCTGGGTCATGGTTCCTTCTATTATAGAGGAATTGTCTAACCCTGCCAATGGAAAATAGAGATTAAGTTTGAGAAGATTGGTATAACTGCACTACAGCAGTCAGCACTCATTATTAATTGGTTCTGGGAGGTGCAAGGAGTACTACCATGTTTCCCCGAAAATAAGACAGAGTCTTATTTTCTTTTGGCACCCCTCCCCCCCAAAATAAGCACTTGGCCTTATTTTTGGGGAGGTCTTATTATTTTTGATGGGCAGTAGGCTGCGAGCGTGGTCACCTCATGGCTGCTGCTGTGTTGCAATATTTTTGGGGAGGGCTTATTTTTGGGGGGCGGCTTATTTTAATGCATGCACTCAAAAGCCCAATTGGGTTTATTATCTGGGGAGGTCTTGTTTTCTGTGAAACGGGGTAAAAACAATGAGGACCAAACAAATTATGAGGAATAATGTAGCGAGTAACAAGGCAGCCAACACCAACAAGTTCTAACTTATGTTTTGAGGATGAAACAAATGATAAGAACCGGAACAAAATTTTCATGTCACAATGTGTTGGATACCAAATTCAATGAGTTTCAAAGCCGTTGAGATACCACCGTATTAAATGATAACCTGTATTTTCTCTGTATGTGTCCTTGTGTTATTTTTCTTCCTTAAGAGTCTATATTTTTATAACTGTGTTCTAATGAAAATGAAATGAAATGCATGTTTTAGGATGGAAGAATCAGCAAAAGGTAATAAATGGAAATTAAGATTGAAGTCCTAGATGCCAAAATGGATAATGGGGTTAATTTTATTGATATTAAGCTGGTCACAACTGCATTGCATCCTAGCCTCATATGTTTTAGAACATTCGATTCAAAAGGAATTAGATTATTGAGTTTGTTCTTGCTGTTTTGGTTTAGCTTGAAAGTTAGCTAGACCTAGTCTAACACTATGTTACATTGTTTGAGCCATCTTGAATAATTGCTACAGTAGAAATATGAGGTATAAATCAAATGAATATATATAAAAAAACACTTGGGATTTCTCTCACTAGATTTTGACAAAGGTTGTCAGCTGTCACAAATAATATATATCCAAGTGGTTTCAGAATGCTACATAGCAATGGCCTGGATTTCAAACAGTCTTCATATACTTCAGACAGCCATAAAATATGCATAGTGTTCTCTTCATTTAAAAAAAAAAAATGAGCAAAATTCGGTTGATCTGACACAAAGTTTTCAAAGTCAAAAAGTCAATGGAGATTCTCAGTCATTCAGGTCATGGTTGTCCCAAAGGTAATTTTTTTTTCCTAAGAGGCAACTGGACTTTCTTGTTTTTCTTTGAAGACTTATCCAAGAAGCTTCTTCAGCTCTGACTGGATGGTAGGGAATGGAAGGATTTCTATTACTTGCACAGCTGGAACTGCTGTACACATTTTGGATAGAGAGGACAGCTGGTTTGAAAGAGGTCATCTATTGAATAGCCTTCTCTCAACAGTTTTGAAGTTTTGAAGTTTTATTTTATTTATATGCCGCCCTATTNGGTATATAAGTCTAACTGCTATTGCTATTGCTATTGTTCGTGCATGTGTGTTGCGCATGCGTGTGTACTCCACTGCCCCTGTGACACCAAGCTGCTTGTCAGAGGTCGTGCAGGCGCCGTACGTTCTATACCTGTTTTTAAAGCAAGCGGCCAAATTGATAACTCTGGGTAGTGCCTTCCTGTCCACCAGCATACTATACTGTAATGCAGTGGGGACATTTATTTTATTTTTTCTGCGGGCATGGCGTGGCATGTCTTGGTGAGCATGGTTTGGTGGGTGTGGCGGGAAAGGCTATTTCAAAATCCTCATTCCCTCCTGACTCCAGGGGAAGGAGACTGCAAAATCTCCATTCCCACCCCACTTCTGGGGAAGGAGACTGTAAAATCTCCATTTCCTCTCCACTCCAGGGGAAGTATACTATAAAATTTCCATTCCCTCCCCTCTCCAGGGGAAGGATACTGCAAAATCTCCATTCCTTCCCACTCCAGGGGGAAGGATACTGCAAAATCTCCATTCCCTCCCCACTCCAGGGGGAAGGATACTGCAAAATCTCCATTCCCTTCCCACTCCAGGGGAAGGATACTGCAAAATCCCCATTCCCTTCCCACTTCTGGGGAAGGAGACTGTAAAATCTCCATTTCCTCCCCACTTCAGAGGAGGGATACTGCAAAATCTCCATTCCCTCCCCACTCCAGATGAAGGATACTGTAAAATCTCCATTCCCTCTCCACTCCAGGGGAAGTATACTATAAAATTTCCATTCCCTCCCCACTCCAGGGGAAGGATACTGCAAAATCTCCATTCCTTCCCACTCCAGGGGAAGGATACTGCAAAATCCCCATTCCCTCCCCACTCTGGGACCAGCCAGAGGTGGTATTTGCCAGTTCTCTGAACTACTCAAAATTTCCTCCAGAATCTGCTGGATTTATCCCTTCTTTAATGCAATATGTGAGGAGCCTTTCTATTGTGGACTGAAAAGTTTTGATACTTTGTGATCCTTTGTCTTTTACTACCTCCTGGTATTGCCACATCAATTGTTCACACTTTCTTTTTTTCTGGTGTGTTATGAGCCAAGTCTTAATCGGTTTGTATTCAGAAATCCCACTATTATTGTGATTATTATTAGTGATGTGAAGCCATTTGCTCAATGATAGGGTCATTGCCTTGGCATGCAGGGAGATTTTCAAACGTAATTGAGAAAATATCTTAATTTCAGACCCCTGGTTTACAACTCAAAACCCAATTGCAATGTTCAACCCTCCAAAACCTGGTCTGACTGCCATTTAAAGGCACAGAATTTTGTCTTAGGGAAAGCTTGGAGATTCACATACTCATTTTTTTTTCTGTTTATAACATAGAATGTAGAATAGTTGGGTTGGAAGAGTCTTCTTCAGGTCTTCTAGTCCAACCTCCCATTCATGCAGGAGATCCTTTTTGTAAAGAC